ACCCCAACTCCATCCAGTTTATGAATTAGTCAATTTCAGTAGCAGGGTCCTCACTGCCAAAAGTGAACTGTGAATCTGGAAAACCTAGCTGTGGGGCTGACGAACAACTATTACCTAGTAAATTTGGCTTAGGGTTTTTCCCTGGATGTAATTTAACTTTCCAAAAATTAAAATTAGATCACTTACCCTTAAATGGCAAGGCACTAAGCAATGACTCAACCAGTAAGGAAGTGATGTATTCAATAAACTCTCAGGTATCATGTGACTCTTACAGAGGCCCCAAGCACTTCGGATGATCTACCCTATACCATATAATCAGTTTTCCCGTGGAAAATTACCATCCTCTAAATTTCTGTCCCATTCTGCATATTAATATGGCCAGTTCTTGGCCATTGGAAGTATAGATCAAGTTATTAGACAAATCCTGTATTGTTTAATTGACTGGCTGACTGACTTAATTATCTGGGGAGGGGAATAATCAGGAAAATTGTATGAACAAAGTATGTATGTATGTATCATGTATGTATGTATCTATGTATGTATGTATTCTTACATTTGAGTTTTGTAGATCCCACTTGATGTGTAATTTTCTTGGTACTGTAAAATACAAAGCAGTTTATCATTGCCTTCTCCTAAATAATGAACTTTCCTATTGTCATTAAAGAGATTTTCCATCTCTAGCATCTTTCTATATACTGTATTAGGCAGTTAGAATGACCTTCACACCATGGATGGCCCTGCTGGGATTATATAATCTTGGAATATACTTCTGGTGTTCTTCACTCATTTTTCCTAAGAATCGCTCTCCCTGACAAAACAAAGCAGGATTTGGAGGGGATGGGGATATAAAGTAAGCTCTACAGAAGCCTAATTCCAGGAAAGTGGAATACAGTACATGCATACATATATGAAGCTGCCCTTGAAGACCACTGAGAAGCTACAGCTAGTCCAGAGTGCAGTGGCACAGGCAGTGGTGTATCATGTTACGCCCATGTGACATCCCTGCTTCTTAAGTTGCACTGATTGCTGTTCAGCTTCCAGCTACAATTCAAGGTACTAGTTTGTGAGGGGATGTTGTTAAAAATGTGCCTGTGCTCCCACGCTTTGGATTAGGGTGAACACTGAGCTTCTGTTAGGGTCTTTTTTTTTCTGGTTTGTGGTATCTTTGGTTGGTCTCAGCATGGTGAAAAAAAATGGGACTACAGTATGAATGACTATAAAGAAAACCAACTAATGATAAAAGCTAACTTTAAAACTGACAGTTAATGTTAGGATTTTTAATTAAATAGCTGGAATAGTAAAGTGGATAATGGGCCAGAACACAGTGTTAGTTGATTGGATGGAGAGTGTGGGTTCCTGCATGAGGCAATCTATGTTATGATTAGTTGCTGGGTGTAAAGGGGGAGTTTCCTTTTCCCCCTGCCTTTTTCTTCTGTGTGCTCTGTATGCTGTTCTGTGATTTATCTGATGATTTACCCCATGATATAGTGAAGTGACTATCTTGTCTGCTGTAAATATAGATGTAAAATATATTTATTTATACAAAACTACAAGTTCATGTCAGCGTCTCTGACTTCCATTTGGAAACCTGCTGCACAATTCCCTGACAGTGAAGATACTAAAGTGGTGGATAGCTTCTGCCTTTGAGGGTCAACCATCTACACCAGAGGTCTTCAAACTTGGCAGCTTTAAGACAGCTATGCTATGCTGGCTGGAGAATTCTGGGAGTTGAAGTCCACAAGTCTTAAAGCTGCCAAGTTTGAAGACCTCTGATCTACACAGTAAAGGAAGTTGCAGTCAAGAAACATGCACAGATTAGCACTTGGTACAGTAGCAATGAAAGGCTTGGAAAAGATATTCAGATGTTTGGGTGTATCTGTATTTACAAATATTAGAACTGTGCAGGGAATGCTTTTCCCTGTCATAGTTTATTGAAGCAAAAGTTGGAAGAAGCAAGATTAAAAAAAAGTATTAATGTTTTTGAACTTTGGTGTTGGAAAAAACATCCGAGTACCATGGCCAGCCAAAAACAAAAGCAAAAACCAGATGGATCAGTGAAGAAATCAACTGAAAGTTCTCACTCAAGGTACAAATGACCAAGTCCAAATTATCCTACTGTGGGCATATTATGCAAATATTTAGCTTTCTGGAGAAGTCTACCATGGTGGGAAAGTTGGAAAGGGGAAAAAAAAAGGATGATTAGGAGCAAAAGTGATTAGTGAACCAGGAGAAAGACAGATCATCATGGAGAAAACCCATGTGGTCACAGAGAGTCAATAGTGACTTGATAAAACATAATCAATCGGATCCTATTTGGTGGTGGTAATATACTCTTGAACCTCTTTTGCAGTGTTGGACTATTGGGTACCTCTCGTGCAGCCATTGACAATAGTAGATGGCCCAATTGGCTTAAGTTGTAACCAGCATCTTCAGTTCTTATGGTTCTTTGTTGCATAATCATCCAGGATGATCTGCTGGTGATGAACTACTAACAGGGAATTTCTGTATATAGTATTGTTGAACACTATGACACCATCACTCCCTAAATTTGGAAACATGACTCTTCTTCAGCTGACAAAAGAAGCAGATGTGTGAGAGAGTCTGTGTGTGTGAGAGGGGGGTGGGTGCAAAAATCAACATTAGTTTTAGAAGAGACAACAGTGGAAACATTAAAGTTGTGCATTTCACAGCAGAAAAGATATTTACTGCTGAATGGAGAACAAAATCAGCATCCTTAATGTCATGAAAAGAAACACTGCCATAAATTTGGCTATCTGGATTGCCACATCATTCTCTGCATAGCATCATGTTAACCAAATGTGTTGTTTTCATGGGTTAGGAAGCTAATAGTTTCAATTATTTTGAAATAATTGAAACTATTTCACTGTGCCCTCAAAACCTTGTTGTTCTGCCAGGCCGGGCTATCAATGTAAAGATTTTAATTGGTTTTAAATATGGGATTTTAAATTTGGGGGTTTTATAATTGAGCCAATTATTTAATAATTTTAAATTATTTTTAAATTTGTCTGTCTTTGTGCTTTTAATCAGGCTGTACACCGCCCTGAGTCCTTCGGGAGAAGGGCGGCATAGAAATAAAATAAATAAATAAATAATTAGATGATTGTTCAATGTCTAGCCAATGGCTTTTGCGGCTTTCCAGTTTTCTTTAGTGAAGAGCCCAGCAATCCACAGTGATGCCTGCCGATAAGAGTTACTTTGTTATATCTATCGCCAAACACTTTGGTTCCTTATGCAAGTGGGCATTTTCCCCATCACAGCCAAGCACAGTTTGCAGGATTGGAAGATCAAGAGCTAGGAAAATTCACCACATTTGGTATGCCCCTGCTATTTTTGTAGATTTATGGCCTCTGCCTTTGCCCTTTTCTCCTCTCCAATTCCAAACCCATTTGGAGATATTTGATTAGGATTAAGGTGGTGGAGAGTTTCAGGAGGCACAAGTCTGAGTGAGTTACAATTGTAAATGGTAAGTCAACTTGCAAGGAGGTTCCTGCCATCTGACTCTGACTGTTGTCTTGTCTGCTGCTCATTGATTTTGCCAGGAGACATCACTGCCTCTAAGGCACCCCCCCACACACACACATCTCCAAATTAGTCTCAGTTCTAGTAATTACTGGCCACTAAATGTCATTGTCAAGAGCTGCTGTTCACTGTCAAGAACCAGACTACACAGTCCGTAAGAATAATAAGGCCTCTTGGCATAACTCAAGCAGCACTGTAGCTGCTTCAGAAAAAAAAGTTATACATACAACAAAAAACCAGCAGTTTCAGCAGCGGGAAAAGAATGAGATATTTTGTCTTGCATTCAGCTTTGACAGAGGAATAATAACCACACATCAATTCTCCTTCCCCAAACATGTATGGAGAATGAAGAAAACGGGGAGAGGGAGGAAATCTGGGATGTTCTCTTGCCCACGTCCCCAGCGCCAGTGCCAACCAGAGCTCAGGAATCATATTTGGTCACAGAGGTGTCACAGGGCACAATTAAAAAATAAATAAATCAGCAGGCCATTCATGACTAAGTCATTGAAGCTCTGCCTGTTTTATGTGTAAGGTATTTTAATTATTAGAGCTGCCGTCTTACTTTTTTGCTCATACAGTACTCTGCAGCTGCCTCTGGTTAGTCAATTCGATCTATCCTACTTGACCTGTGATATACAGGCTTCTCTGAAAATGCTTTCATATGTAGGTCCCCATTCTACAGGTCATAGAGGTGCGACTTTCTAAACACTCAGAGGTACCCTGTTCTGGATTACATTACAATTTTTTTTAAAAAAAATTGATTTATATGCCGCCCTTCTCCGGAGACTCAGGGCGGCTTACAATGCATTAAGCAATAGCCTTCATACTTTTGTGTATTTATACAAAGTCAGCTTACTGCCCCCACAAACTGGGTCCTCAATTTATCTACCTTAGAAAGGATGGAAGGCTGAGTCAACCTTGAGCCTGGCGAGATTCGATCTTACTTTAATTGCAGACAGCTGGTGTTAAATTACAATGCTCTGTCTGTGAGCTATCCAGGCTCCTCAAATTTATTTGCTACATTCCTGGTGATCCTGTGCAAAGGGCATCTTAGAGTTAGGATTCACACCAATTCACACCCATTTTTCTTTTTTGGAAAAGAAGAGGTGGCAAACAAACAGAGGAGACCCCTGATCTACGTATGGAGCTCTTCTTGGTTCATATGGTGCCAGAGAAATCAAATTTATCTCCATCATGGAAAAAGACGAATGAATTCAAACTTGCGTTTCTATGCAACTGTGCCACCAATGCCCGCGCGGGGGGGGGGGGGGGAGAATATTTTCAAGGGGGGGGGGCAAAATAAGTTTCCTTGTAAGGTATGGGATGGTTCCACTGCCGAAGTTTCATTCTGAAGAAGAGAACGTGAGAAAGTTCCCTCATTCAGAAGTGGCAGAAGTGAAAGCAGACGCCGCCCTCTCGGCGCTGGGAATACCCCCTCCCCCCGCCCGCCGCTCTCACGTGGCGCTTTCAGGAGAGCAGCGGCTCCCGGGGAAGCCGCAAGGGCAACCCCGGCTCGTCCAGAGTCTGGCAGCGATATCGGGGGCGGGCGGGTCGGTGGGGGGCGGCAGAAAGTGGTACTTAATCTGCGCCCGCCCGCCCGCCGAGCTCCTTTCCCTTTCCACTGAGGAGCGGCCGCTCCGTCAGTTCACCGCGATGATGGACGAGGCGGGCCGTGGAAGCACGCGGCCGACCCCGCTGTTAGACAACAAAGGACCGAAGGCGTCGGCTCCGTCGGTCTTAGGCGAGGGCCCGGCCGTCTCGGCGGTCATGTTCACGGCCGGCGTGCTCGGCAACCTGACGGCGCTGGTGCTGCTGTTGCTGGCGCGGCGCCGTCGGCTGGCGCGGCGGGAGCGCCTGGCGCCTTTCCACGTGCTGCTGATGGTGCTGGTGTTGACCGACCTGCTGGGCACTTGCCTGCTCAGCCCGGTGGTGCTGGCGGCCTACGGGCGACAACGCCGGCTGGAAGAGGTGGACAAGCGCGTCTGCCACTACTTCGCCTTCTCCATGAGTTTCTTCAGCCTGGCCACCATGAGCTGCCTGGGCGCCATGGCGCTGGAGCGCAGCCTGGCCATGGCCGCGCCGTACCTCTACGAGCGGCTGCTGAGCGGGCGGCCCTTAGCGCTGCTGCTGGGAGCCCTGCCCGCCCTCTACGGCCTGGCCGCCGCCTTCTGCGCCCTGCCGCTGATGGGCTTCGGCAACTACAAGGAGTACTGGCCGGGCACGTGGTGCTTCATCGAGATGCACTCGAACGGCAGAACCTTCGCGCTGCTCTACGCTTCGGTGCTGCTGCTGCTCATCCTGGCCGTCCTGCTGGGCAACCTGGTGGTCATGGTCAGCCTGTGCCGCATGTACCTGAGGCGCGCGCACTCCCGCCTGCCCGCCGCCTGTTGCGGCCCCAAGCTGGGAACCTGCCGCCAGCCGGAGTCTCGCAGGGAGCGCGCGCAGGGCGCCCGGATACCCTTCTCCATGTCCGAGGAGCTGGATCACCTCATCCTGCTGTCCATCATGACCATCATCTTCGCTGTCTGCTCCCTGCCTTTTACGGTGAGTCCCTGCCCAGGTCGAGCAAATCTGGAGCTTGAAGCGGTGGCCTGGCCTTTGGCTGGAATAAGTTGTGCCGAAAAGCAGTGGGTGTGTGTGGGGGGGGAAGGGTACAGCAGCTTTTCCCTATCTGATGCTCTTCGGGTACCCTGGGCTACGTTCCCTTTAACCGTCCTGGCAAGGATGGTTGGATCTGTAGTCCGGCACAACTGAAGACTGCTGGGTGGATGAAAAGGAGACATACACACACAGACTTAAATTTGGTTTTTTGTTTGGGCTTCATATAATGAACCAAGGAAAGAAGCCCTGTGAATGAGCTCAGCCCCTGATGGCTGCTGTATGGGGGATCCCCCGTGCCATGGTCAGGGCAGCATTGCAGAAGTGGTGCACTGTTGCCTCCTCTGGGAAAAATTTTCAACTTCCCAGTGAAGACTCTTGCTGATGGTTTCCCATCCAAGAAATAAGATGCCCAAGGCTAATTAATTTCTGAATCAAGGGAAATGCAGCCTAGTGCTGCTGCAAGGCCAACTCAAACAAGACTCCCATCTTTTTAAAATCACCAATAGTTGAACACTGAGTCACCCTGTAGGAAAGACCATAGCTCTCAAATAGAACATTTTTAAAGAGAAAGTCACCCCAGTGTAAAATTGGCCTGCTTAAGCAAGCAGGCAGGCAGGTGATGGAGAAGAGGTTTGAGTCTGTCCAAGAGCAAGCAAGGGCTATTTCATTTCAACCCAACCAATATTTGAGTCATAAGAGAGCTTTTACTTATCTGGTGATATCCTCTTCTGAATGTTCTGCATATCAATGACACTCATCCCTTTATCAACATATCCAGTGATCATCCTGACCAGGTATGATGGAAATCCCCATGACCAGAATATGCCAGGGTGATGAGAGCTGTCATCAATACACCCGCAGCACAGGTTAAATTATATATTGGGGGGCTAAAAAGCCTGCTCATAGTAGGGCATTTTATAAGGTTCTTGGGTAGCCAAGGTATGCAGAACCAATCCTGAACTGAAACCTCAGAAGTAGATGTTAGAGATGTGACTTAGGCCATGCAGATTCTGATGGAATAACGCAAAGGGGACAGGAGATTGAATGGATGCTCCTGTTAATGAACTAAATATATAGTAAATGATCTTAGGCTATGTTTGCATGACATGGTTACCCATGGTTAAGGGAATAATGATTTCAGTAGTTAATTCAATTTTCTGAGTACACCTGGCATGCTGAATCATAAACTGCAGAAAGGCTGGGTTTGCCTGATTAAAATGTGGTGACTAGTTTGTGGCACAATGTGTGCAAGTGCAAAGATTTTCATGTCACTGGCTTCAAAATTGTGGATAGAAGTGGATGATTGAAGCCCTGCACCTTTCTGTGGGCAAGCAATATGTGTTAAAAAGGGGCACGCAAGTTGAAAATTTGTAATAATGGGTCTTTGATTGCCTAGGTGCAATTACGGTACCATTTTGATGCTAGTGACCACCATAGCAGATACTCCTAGAGGGAATATCAACCCTTCAAGGTAGATCAGGTAAGGAAACAAACGCTACAAGAAATACTAGCTTGATATTGATAAGGGATAAAATCTGACAGCATTTCTTCTTCCCTCCCTCTTATACCAAAGAGAGCCAAAGCAGAACACTCTCTAATTTCTTTCTCATACCTTCCTGTTTTCATCAGCTAACTTGTTTTCACAACAATTGTTGCATATTCAAGACCATCTCCAAACTCCTTTTCAGGTGAACATGACTAATTGTGAAGAGGCAACAGAGGCATTTGAAATGCAGAAGTTTCTTGCAGCTATTCCTCCTATATTTGCAGTTGGTAGACAAGCTAGTTTCTAGAATATTGATCAGAAAGTGTTGGTGTGCAGTTAGATCTTAGTTGTCAGCAACCAGATACCGTTGTTTTACAAAAACAAGACATCCTGCAACTGTCATATCCTCCAACTGTTATCTATAAAGTGGGGAAAACCACTTTGTTGAGTATGCACAATATTTCTTGCAAGAATTGTTCAACATGATGAACAAAATAATCCTTCTTAAGTGGTAATGATAACCATTGCTTAGGCAACTTTTCTTTCCCTATTCAATGACCTAATTGGATTACAATTACAATCCAGCCAAGTAATAACACCTGCCTAATCTTCATTGATCTGAAAAATCCAAACAGCAAAGATCAATTAGTACTTGGATGGGAAACTACCAGGAAACAACAGAGCTATAGACTGAGAATTAAAACCTCTCAGAAGAAAAAGCAAATCCTATCTGTATAGTTGCTAAAAAGACTACATATTAATGAAATCACCAGGAGTTGGCCACAACTCAAAGGAATCTCTCTACCTCTTTGTCACTATAGTGATTGCCCATGTTGGCTAGTGATGATAGAAGGTGTTATCAGATTTCTGAACAATACCAGATTAGCAAGAGCTGACCTAAGTTTAATTTGACTTAAAGGTTCTTAAAACAGGATTTTTAAAAATCACTATAAAATGGGGATAGAAGGGACAAATTGTGTATAATGTTGCCAAGACAAACAGGGAGGTGGGATAACTGAGAAAGACACCCATCATTCAGTATAAAACACCTATTTCACATGCAAAAGATCCCAGTTTTACTTTCTGGTCTTTCCAATGAAAGCAAAAATGGACAATCTCTCCTCCCTCTCTCTCCCCCTCTTCCTCCCCCCCTCCCTCTCTCTCTCACACACACCAGATCCAATTGTCTGGCTTGTTTCAGGTGCTTAAGATGCTAGCAACAAGCAAACCATCCAAAAATCCAACGGAAATAAAGCATTTTAATGACTCTTACAATGAATTTTATATCATTCTCTGAATTTAATGGGACCTTTTTTCAAATAAATATGCCACAAGCATTGTAATTTTACTGTTTAAGTTTTCTTGGAGGACACGTTAAAGCTAAATAATACCAAAATGTTCCCAAAGATCTGCAAACCGCACAGCAAGCAGAATTTTTAACATGATTTTTATTAGAAGGCCACAGATATAAAAAGAAGCAAATAATGTTGAGTCAAGATATACTGTGACGTTACTGTATGACCTTCCTTTCCTCTGCTGGATGATGTGGCTATGTTTACAGAACTGCACGTCACTGCTGTGTGATAGACGTACACATTCAGTCAGCCAAGAAAGGGCTTGTCGTTGTGCATCCTGAACTGATAACAGTGAAACTGATTCTCAGAAGAGATAGGTGTCAGGGTACAGAAGTACTGGTCTCGCTTGTTTGCTTTTGTAGTGAGGTATGTGATGTATAAACTAAGCTATTGTGGTTCTTAAACTAACCACAACTTTTTAAAAAGTCACAGCTTAGAGCACAGCTTATTGAACTTAACCAATACAATTCTGGGGTCTTATTTAAACTACAGATAGTCCTTTACTTACAACAGTAAGTAATGGTCACTAATTTAACAACTGCAGTGATTCACTTAAGAAATGTGGCAAGAAAAGTCGTAAAATGGGGCAAAACACAAGTAACAAATTTCTCACTTAGCAACATAAATTTTGGACTCAGTTGTGGTCATAAGTTGAGGACTACCTGCACTGTCAAAGACCAAGATGATGGAAGTTTTAGTCTGGCCCAGCAGAGGGTGGATTGGTGCAGGAAATTGTTTTATAGGTGCAAAGCACACAGTGAGAGAGGATTGCTTGGTTTGGGGTTTTATTTTACTATATTTTGTTATTCAAAGGCCACAAAGGTTGTAGTAGTGATGAAATGAAGGAGACTGAATTTGATCAGTCCTTCTTTTTTAAGGAGCATTGACAAGGTTTTAAATATGAAACGGCTTTTTTTTTTTAAAGAAAAGTCTTAACTATTGATCCAGATAGCTCTGGATAGCTCTGCAGACTAAAAGCACTGTAATTTAACACCAGCTGTCTGCAATTAAAGTAAGTTCGAATCTCGCCAGGCTCAAGGTTGACTCAGCCTTCCATCCTGTCTAAGGTAGGTAAATTGAGGACCCAGTTTGTGGGGGCAATAAGCTGACTTTGTATAAAATATACAAAAGTATGAAGGCTATTGCTTAACGCACTGTAAGCTGCCCTGAGTCTCCGGAGAAGGGTGGCATATAAATCAAATTTAAAAAAAAACAAACTATTCTCAACATGTTGCCAAATTTCAGCAACATGACACTGGGGGTACTGTAGGCCACAAAGAAGCTGACTCCTGGGCCACTGCTGATTTGAACCTCTTCCATTTTTATACATTTTATTGTACCTTTTTCCCATGATGTCATTCAGAGTGTTATCTGTCAAGTTAAAGGATTATGGATATTCTCAGTCATCCAGGTCATGGTTATCCCAAACGTACTTTTTTCAAGAGGCAACTGGACTTTCAGCTCTTCTTCTTCAGAGCTGAAGAAGCTTCTTGGATGAGAAGCGAAACGTCTTCAGAGAAAAACCAGAAAGTCCAGTTGCCTCTTGAAAAAAAGCATCTTTCGGACTATCAAAATTAAAAGACCATCTCCATTTCAGATTCAGGCTGTTGTTTGGGTCAACTAAGCATTCTGTAATCCAGGTTTATCTTTCAACTGATCATTCATTTTTGCAATCCAGGATGAATTCAAGACAAAATATGCTTTAAATGAAATGCACATTTAACTAAGTTTTTAAATGTAAAAGAAATGTAAAATTATTGGATGAGATGGTAAGCAAGCGGAGAAAAGGGTATCTAATGCCAACCATGATCCTCCAAAACTGCCCATCTACTAAGCTGTTTTTCCCTCTGTGAGGAGGGCACGTTGAGAACAAAGCAATGAGATGAAAAAACATCCCTTCCCAAGAACGTCAACAGAATTAGCCAACATCTTCCAACTAATCGTTTTTAGTTTAAACATTTAAATATTTTCAAACTACGTTGCACTGACTTTTTCCCATCCAGCTTAGTCAGAGCCTGAGAAGGAACAGCTGGTGTATCAAATAGTATAACCGATTGCTGGAAAACAACTATTCCCCAGTTTTGAGCATCCGTATCCATTTCATTACATGGTTTTGATTTACTTGTATAACATGATTAGGAACAGTTTTTAAGAATATTAAGAAAATAGGGACAGGATACCTGAGAAGTTTCCAAGTTACCTGTTACTTTCAGGAGTAAGTGAATATGTCATGTATGCAAAGAAAAATGACTGAATTTCACATCCTGAGAATCTTAATTCACTTGTTAACAAGGAAATGAAAAAAGTTTGCAGTACTTGTAAAAATGTACAATGTAAAAATTCCTGGCTTTTCTAATTTCAGAAGCCAGCAGTACCATGTGCAATGATGAACATACACTGTGTAAGTGTATATCATTTAAATTAGATCCTATAAAATCTAATTTGAAAGTAAAATCGTTGATCTTACCGGAATTTGTTATGGGAAAAATTATATTATCCTTTAAAAGCAGTTATGATATTCAATTTGTTACAGACCAGATATCTTTATTGTTACTTTATAGGGCTCTGTGAATATTCTATTAGGAAATATCATTAGAAGACAATGCAGTTGAATCTCTGAATCAAAGTAATATACTGTATTGGAAAATTGATTCAAGCCATTAAATTAAACTAAATGTGCCTGAATCATTGATATATTTGAATATTTGTACATTCTGCATTATTTCAGAATAAATCTTTGGAAAAGATATATTTTGAATTGATTCAGGAGTCTGAATTAAATCCGATCAATTTGCCCAGTCACACTGAACATTCAGATTAAATTTTACCTAGTTTGCAAAGAGCTAATATTTTATTCAAGTACAGAGCAAACCTGGTTTTATTTTAATCTTTGGGGTATCAGTCTGTCGTGTTCCCCCCCCCCCCCCCCGTTTAACGGGGTCTAATTCTCAGAGACTGCCTGGATAAATCCCTGCAATTTTGTTGACAAGGCTTTTCAGGAGTAGTTTGCCATTGTTTCCTTCCTAGGGCTGAGAGAAAGTGACAGGCCCAAGGTCACTCGGCTGGTGTCATGACCAAGGCGAGACTAGAACTCACAGCATCTCCGTTTCTAGCCTTCTAGACCCTAAGACAGTGTTTCTCAACCTTGACAACTTTAATACGGGTGGAATTCATGCTGGCTGACGAATTCTGGGAGTTGAAGTTCATACATCTTAAAATTGCCATAGTTGAGAAATCCTGTCCTAAGGAACACTTCTCTAAGAATTATACAGTATTGTCTCTAATCTCTCAGGCTCCATTATAGCAGATAGCCTTTGTGCATTTGTTTAGACTTTTTTTGAAGCCATCAAAACTCTAGCATCACTACATTTTGGGCAGTCAGTGGTGAACACTTATGAAGACATAATCAGTGCCATCCTAAGAGTTTTAGTGACCAGTCCATTTGCATTCATTGCTCCTAATCGTTCTGCAAACACATAGAACCTTGTTGGGTCGGGTGGGGGTGTTGGGGAGAGAGATGGTGCAGGTGAAAGAGAAACTATTCAACCTATGGCAGTCCAAAAAGTTCCGGCAAGCATTAAATTGGAGGTGAGATTCTGTTTTGGGTGGATAGTGAGGACAAAAATTATCTAGTGTTTGCAAGACCCAGATTTTCTCACTCACTCCTATGCAGTCTGTGTTCATGGGCCAGGTCTTTTTAGTCTGGTCAGGGGAACAGCTGTATTTCTCAGCTGTTTCCTGCCAGCATCATTTATTTAGAGACATATTGCTTTTGGACAGGGGAATTCCATTTAGTTTTCTTAGCTAATAGAAAGGGGGTGAGATTTTCAGAATCATTCTTTCATGACCTTTTTCTGGACAAGAATTTTTACCATACTAAGCCAGGATGACAACTCAGCATGGGATATCAGGAGGAGTTCTCCATATCTTTCAGAATAATCATATTGTAGATGTGGTGTAAATATGGCCAGGTACAATAGGAAAGAGATGTGAATGCATAGTCCTGAAAGATGCCCTCCTCTCTCCTCTCTCTCTGTAAAATGAGTGAATCTATAAATGTGATAATAAATACAAATAAGTACATGTACGCACGCAAAAAAGTGACCATTTTTTGGAGTGATAATTCAAATAAGAACTTCCTTATTTGCAGTCCGAGGATATGATGAAAAACTCCTTAATTCCAAAACTCATGGACAGACTTGAACTGGGAAACTGACCAAGGCAAGTCCAGAAACCCTAGATAATTTCTGGAAACCTAGCACCCACCCAAATTAACCATCAGCAGACACATACAGATTGACAACATCTACATACCACTCGAGAGACAATCACAAAGTCAAAAGGAAAAGGAAAAGACCATAACACTTCCTTACTAGCAACCAACACTGAGATGAGTAGAGAGTAACACTAAGATTAACAGTACACAACAATCAAGTAGTCAACAATACCCTAATCAAGGAACTACTAATGTAGACAAACAAGTTCACTGTAAACAGCCTAATCAAGGAGCCATCAAGAACACTACCACCAACATTGAAAGGAAGAGGCACTACCAGTACGGTAGTTTATAAAATGAGGGCAAACCACACTCCCTTCTAGCACTGATGATGTTACCCAGTAATGGTAATGAAATGTCTGCAAGAAAACAGCCAAGCTCAGTGAGCACCAAGGGCCCAACAGTTCAACCCTGAGCTACAAATGTTCTCTTCTTATATAGGAGTCAGCAGCTCTAATTAAAATATTCCATTCCCCCAACTGACTAAGGGAAAGCAAGGAGAGAACGACATTATACGCATGCATACTTTTAGGATTTATCTGCCTAGTGAGAATTGTGAAAACTTGCCTTGGGCAGGAGATAAGCAGAACCTGTAAGGAAGCTGGCAGATATAATGTAATTAGCCCAGGACATGCTGAGATCTGCTTTTGAACTTCAAACCGATACCTGTATGTACACAGCTAAGCTAAGAGGCCTACCCTGCATGATGCTACTTTGCTAGTCATTAATGCAGGAAATACTTTCTAATGATTATGGAAGTAGCAGTGAGTCTTGACTTGGATTATAATATAAAGGTTACTAAAGGGTTGCGGCCAGCCAACAGAGGAAATGTTCAAAGATTAGGCTTAGATAAAGTAAAATGACATCTGGGTTGGTGTATTGGATTCTTTCTTTTCTGCCTTCCTTCCTTCCTTCCTTCCTTCCTTCCTTCCTTCCTTCCTTCCTTCCTTCCTTTATTTATATTTATTTTTCTTTCTTTCTTTTCTTTCTTTCTTTCTTTCTTTCTTTCTTTTTCTTTTTCTTTTTCTTTTCTGATTCAGCTTCCTTTTCCCTGACTATAGCTTCCATTTTCTCTTCCTTTTAACCTTTACTCTCATTCTTCCAATATGCCAATTAGTTACAATCCAGATATCACACAGACATTGGTAATATGCAGCTTTTCTGTACTTGGTCAGTTGTTGGCTAGGAAATTGGGAGAACTGAGAGTGCTAAATCAGGAAAAAATTACTATATTTAGTATCATCAGGATGAGTGGGACTGAAGTTGTCATAATTTCCAGGATGGAAGTGGTAAGGAGAAGAATTGTGTGGACATCTCTAGGTGGGGGACTGTTGATAATATGATTCAGAGAGTTTGTGATTCAAAGGTTACTTATGCCATGAGCTTTTCAATGACAATACAAGGACATTATATGAAAAGTTGGATTAATCTAATTCACCTCTGTTGCTTAACTGTAGCTGTAATGCTAAATCACATACTTGGCAATTAATCCCACTGGATTTGTAGCTAAAATGATAAATTTTATATATTTATTTAATTTACAAAAAGAATTGCATGAGAAAGGGCTCATAACCTTTAACTTTAGACAATTACTAAATATCTGTTTTGATTTAATGTTTTGTCTTTTCAGATCCATGCCTTTATGAACAGCTTTATTGAAGACAATAAAAGGGATCTTCTAGTGATGCGGTTTCTATCTGTTAATTCCATTGTGAATCCCTGGGCGTTTGTCATCCTGAGACCTCCTATCCTTCGGCTAGTGCGATCTACACTGTGCTGTCAGATACCCTTAAAAACACAACCAAAGAATAGACAGATGCCTGTGGAACAGATGGACAATTGCAGACAATAGAGCACAGACTCAGAGAAGGCATTCAGGTGCCCATTTCTCATGGCTCCTCAGGGAAAATATGGAACTGCGACTGGAATAGTAGCATGAATTTATTTCCTGGGGTCATCACTCAGCTACAGCTTCCATGATTCCAAGCTGCGTTCTCGTTCATCGGAAGTAGACCTGAGAGGACTCTCCAAATTCAATTCAATCCTAAATATTTCCAGTCTTAACTGCAAGACAATAACAATGGGTTCAAGAAGCAGATTGGAAGGAGCTGACTTTTACCAATCGTGGCAATGCTTTATCTTGCTCCATCTTGTTGCAGTGCTTAAGGAAGCTCACAATATTTCAGGCTGGGATTTTTTCCCAGCTCTACCTGCAGAGTGTCCACAGGAATGATCCAAAAAGTCAAGATGGTGGCTGAGATGATGCGATAAGAGCTTCATCTTTTTTTATGAATGTCACATCTACAGAGCTTCAATCACACTGATGCAGAAACATCTTGATTTGTTTGACCATAAACCATGGTTATCTCTTTTGCTTTCTCTCCAGGAGTGGTGCAACATTTCCTAGAGAGAAAGAGAATTAAGGATGCACATCATGCATGGGCCTGGGACCTCAGAAAACCTAGGATGCAAAGTTGTCACTGAACTGTATTTTTTACATCTACCAGAGAGGGGGGGAAATCAATACTTAACTTATTAATTAAGCAATTTATTTAATTTATTCTTTAATTGCACATAGGTGAAATAAAATAATCAAACCTTTTTTAATCCTGACCTAGCCTTTTTTGGGGTGGGGAAGTGCCCCATATAGGCCAAAGCTGGCCTTTGTCATGAAAAGCTATGGCCCCTTATAGTAGCACTTTGATTTTTTTAAAAAAATAAACCTTGGGATACACTAACTGGGTTGCAGACATCCAGATGAATACTAGGTGGAACCAAGATACTTTTCCGTATTTCTCTGCTATCTAGTAGCTTTTTGGATTTTTTCATCTCAGATATGATAGCACTTAGGTGTTTGTAGAATGTGATCATAGAGTGAAGATGACATCCGTGACATATAAAAAAAAAGATGGAACTTCACTACCATCCTTACTTCATGATCACACCATGCAGACATCCCTGAGAGCTCTAGTAAAGTTTTACACTATTACTTTCATTTTCACATTTCTGTTATCTGTCCCTGCATTTAATTAGTTGAGAAATAAGGCCCATTCAATTCAGTGGGATTTATTACCAGATACGTGAGTTGAGCATTACAGCCACAGTTAAACAAATGATCAATCAGCTCTGTTTTTCTTAATGAGGAAGACAAATTACCCTGGTTCATTAAGTCAATGCTGTGGGTTTATGTGTGTTTTGCCCAGAGTATGCATAAGCCACCTGCATATCAAATCAAATATAAGCTAACATACGGAATTGGCTTCTTTTCTACAATCATAAAGAATTGATGATATTAATGAAATCACAATCAAAACATCAGTAAGTGCAATGACAAAACCTAATCAGCATTTGTGGCCCATAACAACTGACCCATTTATTGTAGCATAAGCATTTTATGAACTGCAGGCCAACTCATCACATATATGAAGTATTATATCAAGTGAATAGTATATCTAAACTCCTAATTGAGAGGGAAGAAATGCAAATGGCATGTCTAATGAGAATACATTATACAGATAAAAGTTATTTATTGGTATAGGATATTTACAAAATAGATGCAGAGAGGTGTGTGTGCATTGATGAATTAATTTACACAAATTGTGTGTGTGTGTGTGTATGTGTGTTTTAAAAAAAATCTCTGCTTTATTCAAGTCATAGGGCATGGAATGAGCCAAATGTGTAAAAATAAACATTATGCGGGGTAATGGAATAACATTTTTCTAATAAAAAGTTGTCTTCACAAATCTATTTGAATGTCTGTATCAATCTAAATTTTTCCTTGCATTAGGATACATCAGTAGATTTTGGATTCCATTTTGGGGCATTTTAAGTCCTAAAGGCTGGTGAGAAGTCAGATCAAATCTCCTTCAAATCAAGATTGCTGTCTGGTGACATCCATCTAATTTTCTTTGAAACAGTCTGGATATGGTGTGCTATTTCCATCTTCTGAATTCTTTTTTGTTTTACTTTCCACTTTAGCCTATTGCCCTAATGTTCACTATCCAAATCTTAATTGCACTTGATCAAGCTTTGAGTAATAGTAACAAACCAACAGATCAAAGTAGAAAAGTTAAATAAAAATCAAGAATTGGAACTGACAACTCCTTCACTAAGCAGTAGAGTTGTTAAGTGAACATCACATAACCGCACTGAGTTACAACCTCAGCTACTGCTGTGGTTGATAAGCAAATCATTACAGAATGTTAAGCACAGTGTCATGTGACTATGACTTGTGACTTCCTGATGGCTTCCACATTGACTGCTTGTTATAAGCTAGCTTTGAAGGTTGTAAAAGGCAATTACATGACTGTGGGACTGTTACAAATGCCCATTGGTTGCAAAGTGTCCACATGGATGTTGCAATTGCCATAACTTTGAGGACTGCCTATAAGTTTCCTTTAGCTTCCTTATAACTTCAAATGGTCAGTAAGCAAGGGCTACATGCATTCCAACATCCAGTCTATGCCTTTCATCACTGTACAACATAACATAATTGATAGTAACTCATATTTATTTTCAATAAGCCCAATGTTCTGTTTCTTCCTTTGAAGATAAAGAGTACTTTAGGGGGAAGGAATTTCTATAATGACCCCATTGGGTGGGCCAACATTACTATTCCTGTTAAATTTGTGCGTTCTTCAAAAATACTTGAGGAATACTTCAGACCTCGCTTGAGCCCAGCACCACTTAGCTATTCATTAAAGCAGACCTTCTTTTCTCAGGTTTCTCTGCCAGCCCAAAATTGGTGTGGCTGGTTTAAGAACTATCTTTCCATAAAGTACAAAGCACTTCAAAATTGTTTTTAAAAGGTTCAGACTACTATCTTTAAAAAAGAGGACCAGTTTGGTGTAGTAGTTAAGGTGCCGGCCTAGAAACTAACAGATTGTGAGTTATAATCCTGCCTTAATTCTGAAAACTGGCTGGGTGGCTTTGAGCCAATCACCAGGAAACTGGAAGTTCTAGTCCCACTTTAGGCATGAAAGCCAGCTGGGTGGCTTTGGGCCAGTCATTCTCTCTCAGCCCAATCCATGTCATAGGATTGTTGTTGTGGGGAAAATAGGAAGAAGAAAGCATATTAGGAATGTTCATTACCTTGAGTTATATATAAAGTAATAAAGATATGCGGGGGGGGGATCTAATAAATATTTATTTTTTTATTTTTATTTTATTTCTATACCGCCTTTCTCCTGCGGGACTCAGGGCGGTGTACAGCCGAGATAAAACATTGCATATAAAATTTAAAAACAGTTTAAAAAACAAATAATTTCGGCCCAAGATTTAAAACAACAAAATAAAAACAAAAGTGCCAGAAAGATGATCCCAGAAAATTAGCAACTCTGGGGCCAGTGATATTACAATCCTACAGTAGACTGAAAAATTACTTCTGGATAGATTTGTTTGGCTTTGTTCTGTTATTATGGGAATTAGGAGATTTTGACTGAAGTGTCTACCTGATATCATTTGCTATAAAATAATACTAATATACTATATTTCCCCTACTAAATAGAAAAATAAAACTCAAAAGAGCTTTTTTTTTTTCTCGGTGAAAAGGAACTAAATTTTCCTTCTCAACAAATGTGGAGAAACAAAATGCTTTTTTAAAAAAAATAAAAACTTACTGATGTTTATCAAACTTTAACAATCTGTTAGAATGTAAAGGCAAAACGTAAAACAGAAGTTCCCTCATTGAATGGCGTATTTGTTTTCAGGAATATAAAGTTTAGAACAGTGTTTTTCAAACTTAGCAACTTTAAGATGTGTGAACATTATAGTGGCCTGGGGAATTCTGGGAGTTGAAGTCTACACATCTTAAAGTTCCCAAGTTTGAGAAACACTGGTTTAGAAGGATTTTTGTTATAAAATAAAACCTCTATTTTCAAGATTCGAAAGGCAGATTTCTTTTCATAAATTTGAGATTAACCGTAGTTACCCAAGCCTTCTTTGAATTCTTTTGACATTATTTCTGAGAAAATGTACATAGACTTTGATTGCGCTATGCCAAATTGTAATTTTGGAAACCATTTCTCAAGAAGCTTGGATAGTGCACTATATAAACATTAAAGTATACAGTTGTATACTTTGACTACAGTAAACTTCCTTGCAGTTTGTGACTTCTTGAAAATCAAGTCATTAATCCATCACAGTTTGCAATACTGTCTGTAAGCGGTGATGGCAGAACATTTGACTCTCTTCCAAAATCTACAGGATGTATTCTGGCCTTTTGAATAAAAGTGGGAGGAGAAGGTAACAAATTGTGCAATGAGTGAAGGAGTGACCTGGCTTGAACACGAAGATCTGCGTATATAATTGCTTGTATATTTATCTTGGAGCTACAGAAATATTCTCTCTATTTATGAAGACACACTCACACCCAATGTAAAGAAAGAAAACCTCTGGTTCAGAAGAAGCTCGTTTCTTTATCAATCTTCCATAGTCTCAGAACCTATAATGGCATGTAGGAATGACCTTGGGAGACAAGAGGAAGTCACAACTAGGAGAACCATTGGATAAGAGGCACCTTAGTCCACAAAAGGAATTGTGGCATGGCAAACAACTCAAAAGGAACTCCTTCCCTCGTTTCTTGAGCTTTAAAGGTGACAGGAGAAATGTACTTTCAAACTTTGTCAGAGTTTGTTGCAGCACACACAATCAGACACTGTCAGATATAAATGCCTTATTCTCCAATGTGTAAATAGTGTACAGACAGGGTATCAGGGGTTAACTTATTCTTCACTTCTTAATGTATTCATAATTCACCACTCCCACATATAGCTCCACCCATTGTATATATATAAGGAGCTACCTACACCATTTCCCTTGCTTCTATCTGTGAATATTCAGTGAATATAGAATGCCTAATGTAAATAAAAGAATATATAGTTAAATCTTTAACTCTCGTTGATCTTATTGAGTCTGATCCTGAAAATATTGCAACAAACTGGTAGCAGAGGATGGTTAATTGACTCAATAAAAAGCTTTAAAATGTCTAAGAAAGATAGGCCCAACACCAGGGCCTACAGCAAAGAAATGGAAACGGAACAAGAAATAATCAACGAATCCACGAATGCAATTTCGAGAGAATCCGAAGAATACACCACTGAAGACGAAGAAATAATTGATGACCAGGAGGAAATCGAAATAGAAAATAACGAACTCAGGTCAGAGATATTAAAACTATTAAAAAGCCAGAAGAATGATGAAAGCCTCATCGCGAACCTCCAAGATATGCTAAAGAACAGCGGAGCAGCGAGAGAGAAAAACATCACCAATGAAAAACCCAAAGATCCAAAAATAGTGAGTAATATGACTGCGGAGAAAATCATTACAAAGAAGAAAAACGATGATCCCGCGCAAAAATTTGAATGGCGGCCATCTTGGTTTCAACCGGCCTCCAAGATGAACGAAGAAGAGCCAATCAGCAAGCTCAATTCAAAATTTCTGGCGCGAAAAATATTATCGGACAACGAAAACGAAAAGGAAGATTCAAACACCTCAGAAGAATCAGAACCAGAAAGCGAGGAAGATCCAACAAAACACCAAATAAAATCAGCGATGAAAACGCTCTTTGCTGCATTTGGGCCAAAACTGAAAATTACTAAAAAGACACCAAAAAAGCGAACGAGCAAGCCAATGCCTCAAGACCTGCCCGCTCCCATCCTGACTACTAGAGCGCTGACGCCGGAACCCAGAGAGCCCTGCCGATACCGACCTACGCCGCAGACCGAAGCAAGCACCAACGCTTTCAATAGAAGAGGAAGAACAGCCACCGTCGCCAGAACCCCCAAAGTCGAACCAGAGACCGACTCATCTGAAGAAGAGCAGAGCGAGCAAGCCGCAATGAGGAGAACCTTCCACGACGACGCCGAAGAAGAAATGGGCAACGCGCATGCGCGAAACTACGCTGACGATCCGGGAAGACATGAACAGGAGAGAAGATCATGCAGACTCGTAGCGAGCATCCCCATGCCGTTTTGCAATTTTCTGCATTTACGAGACCACGGACTACCTCAGGTTGTAAGTAATGGACCCAATAATGTCGGAAATTTACCCAGTGACTTCCCAAAACTAAGGGTTGATGGCATTAATTTACAAGAATGGTATCAACAGCTCCAGGTTGTCTTTATGAAGGAAAACTTACTGTTTTTTATCACTAGCCCCCCAAAAAGACCTTGGACACTAAAAATAGATTGTTTACACCATAGAGCTTTTTTCTTAATAATATCTAGTGTGTCTCCTGCAATGTATCACAGCATTAAGCCAAATTTGACTGTTTCAGAAATTATTCAATGCATGTTTAATTTGTTTCACAGTGATAGTGTAGCCACCACCACAAGGATATCTAAAGACTTCTTTTCATCTAGGATAAAACCAGGGGTTTCCATAAGTGAACATTTAATATCTTTGAACAAAATAAGAGCTGAACTGCATTTGAGGGGGGAGGTGATTTCAGACCAAACAATGAAAAGTGTCATTATCAACTCACTTGACCCATCATGGGACAATTTTATGTCACATTTAGACACAATCAATCTAGGGTATTTATCCATAGAAAGTCTATCTAACAAATTGATAACAGAAGATAATTCTAGAAGGAATCGTTCTAACAATCACACAGAACATAAACCATATAGGAAAGTAGCTTTCCAAGAAAAATATAGTGGAACATTTAAATGTCATAATTGTGGATCCAGGGAACACAATAGAAGAGATTGCCCAAAATTCTTAAAAGAAAGATATAGATCAGAATA